AGTTTTTTATCGTCAAGCTTCCTTGTTTTTTTCTTCTAATGAAAGTTTTGTTTCTTCCCATTCATACTCTTTAGTATGGAAGAATCTCCAAACTTGAATTGGAAAAAGGACAAAATTCTAGTGACCCCTAAGGAAGTATGCTTAGAGGGTCTCAAAAAATGAATAGGAATGACAATATTAGCCTATTTAATATGAATTGTTGCTCATTTAGAGATGCTATGCTACTTGACACTTGTGCCTACATATGCGCATCGTGTTCATGATGCGCGCGAATCAGATACGCTAGAAGCCCTTTACGCGTTGGTGCACATCGCGCCTTAAATAACTATGTCCAAAACATAGAAGGCACATCGCAGCTAAGGAAACAAAAACATAGCAGCAAAAATTACCAAGGCCCAAAGGTCTACCTCAATATTCTAATCCTAGATCTCCACGCTTTCAACACGGAGAGAGGATGCAGACGTTGGACTATTTCCCATAAATCCTTACCTCAATCACAAGCACATGAACACATAAAAAGTAAACACAGAAACACGAGCAAAGTACAAACACAAGATACATACATAGCAACACTACCAAGTAGCAACTAGATCCAAAACATAGAAAGCACATAGCAGTTAAGGAAACAAAACATAGCAGCAAAAACTACCAACTAAGGCCCAAAGGTCTACCTCAGTATTCTAACCCTAGCTCTCCACGCTTTCAACAAGGAGGAAGTACTTAACTTATTGTGATCGCTCACTCAACCGAATGGTGGCTCAGCGGCTACACTCTTAAACATTAAATGTTACCAACCATTACAAATCTAGACAGCAGTAACAGCACTGGCCTACGAGACAAGAGCTACTGACCAAAAACTACTACATACAGAATGCTGTCTAATTAGAGTGATTTTGGAACAACTGATCCCAGACCTATTTCGTAGTCTACGTTTAAAGCAGGGAAATATAAATCAGCAGAAAGATAATCATACAAAGCAATATTGAGGGACGGAGAATGTGCGAATTATAGGTATACAAAATAATACTCCTTACCTTACTGACGGTTCTTTAATATGTTACAGAGTAATTGTTTTATGGAATTGGTCGGTCTGCGCAGAGAAGAGGGCAGAAGATGACTGCAGGAGTCCGATTGACGCAGCTCGTGATCAGGATGAGAGGTTCTCCGAACGGCAGATCTGCTACAAAATTGGGCGGCGACGCAAAGCCTGGCAGCGTCAACGGTCCTATCGTTCCCGTCTGGCAACGGAAATTGGATGGCGTGATGTAATGATGCTGGTTGTGTCGGTCAAAGACGGCCGAAGAAGATGGTGGCGAGAACACATACATTAATTATAGTTTGATGTGATAGGTAGTTTAATAATTGATAAAGTTAAAAATAATTTTTTAATTGAAAAGTGAAGGGTTTTTTGGGACAGATAAAAAATGAAAGCAGAAGAATTTTGTGGGACGGAGGAAGTAACAAATAAAAATACATAATAAATAAAAGTTCTCGTAAATTTTAAATACTGAAGAGTGTAAATCATTGTGGAACGGAGGGAGTATTTTAGTCATATTTGAGTAGATGAAAAGCTATCTCAAATAGTCTCACTTTTACTCAATCTGCCAAAAATAATCTCATTTTTCACGGTTACGTGTAATAAGCCATGCTTTTCAGGTGTAAGCGAGTTTTGGGTCACCGCTTGGGAGGTAATGGTGACATAATGTTTTTTTAAAGCCTTATTTTATGCAAAAATAAAAGGTGAGATTATTTGAGATAAATTATCATTTTCTAATTTTTAATTTTTAAAATTTATAATTATGTTTTAAAAATATAACAGAGCGCTCTTGCCAGAGGTTTGTTCAACTTTATAAAAATGGCAAATTCTTTGGTGGGGATGGCAACGGGTCAGGTTCGATTCAGATATACCCTTACCCGAAATCGACCCGAAATCTATATCGGATATTTTTTATGGCATGAACCCGAACCATCGAGTATAAATTCCTACCCGAACCCGATTTCAACTGACTAACCCGAAACCCGAAACCGCAACCAACCCGACAATTTGACAAAAACCTAAGCCTAACCCGACCTGAAAACCGACCGACCCGACCAACCCGACCGACTGACCCTACCAATGTCCTAATATATCAGTTTTTGTAATGATTTTTATTAAAATAATGATAAAATAATAAATGCATGTAATGATATAATTACAATTCCAATACATAAAAACATTTGAACATTCAAAGAAATTATTTAAAAATCTTGCAATGGATTTCACCATTGCCCTCAGTGCATTGGATCTCATTAGTATCGTGCATCTACTTTTCTTATTTTCACTGATTTTGTAATTCACATTTTGGTTTTTACAAATGGTGCCTTTCTCAATCAGTTGCTATTGCTAAAGACATTATAATGGGATCAAAGCATGCCCATTAGAACAGTAACAAAGGACGACGAAGTTAATTGCTCTTACTTCCAACAATCAGTTTTACCAAATACTCTATCCATTATCATAAACAATACATGGAAAATTTCATTATTTCTTATGAACAACTATGTAATGAATCGGGAACCATAGAGAAATCTGTAGATCGGGAAGAAGGCTACATAAATAAATAAAGATGTGTAATTTGTTACTGAAATTCGAATCCATTATGATACCTGTTGGAGGAGGAGATGGGTTGTGTAGTTGTGCTCTCTACGGTCGCCGATACTCGGCCTCGGTGGAAGACTGAGACGCAGTCTTCTGACGAACAGATTTCCAAGAGACCGGATTACACCCCAAGGTAAACAACATAAGCCGTAGTAGACTTACCACCATCATGGATGCCCAACCCCCCAATTTGAGTCCAAGAAAACAGTGAGCTGCAACGGCGTATTAGCCATAAGAAAAGCCCATGAGAGAGAGTACCACTGAGATACCGAAGCACACGTTTGGCCGCCTGCCAATGATTAAGTGTGGGAGCATGCATATATTGAGACAATTTGTTCACCGCAAAGCAGACATCAGGGCGAGTGAGGGCTAAATATTGGAAAGAACTGAGTAACCTTCAAAAAAAAGTGGGGTCTGCCTTACCCGAACCATCATTAGACCAGAGAAGAGCTGTTGTGGACAAAGGAGTACGAACAGAATTAGTATCAGCCATTTGATGATCAGAGAGTATGTTGTGGATGTACTGATGTTGAGAAAGGAAAACACCCCCGGGAACCGGAATGACCTCAACCCCCAAGAAGTGATGCAACTGGCCTAAATCCTTAAGCAAAAATCGATGAGACAAGGTGCGAACAAAAGCATCAAGAGAGACCACCGAATTGCCAGTAACCACAATGTCATCGACATAGACAAGAAAGTAGAGACGAATAGATCCCTTGGCATTGATGAAAAGTGAAGCATCGACACTAGACTTCCAAAACCCAAACCCTAGCAAAAAATCAGCCAACTCCAAATACCAAGCACGCGAAGCTTGTTCCAAGATGTAAAGAGCCTTACGAAGTTTAGAAACATAATCAGGATGCGCTGCATCTTTGTAGCAAGAAGGTTGCTCCACATACACCTCTTCATGGAGCGTACCACTCAAAAAGGCATTGTTGACGTCAAGCTGTCGAAGAGGCCAGCCAAATCGCAAAGCAAGAGTAATAATTAGTCGAATGGTCACGAGCTTAGTAATTGGACTAAACGTCTCTGAATAGTCACGACTGGCTTGTTGAAGGAATTCTTTAGCCACCAATCGGGCCTTGTAGCGGTCAATACTACCATCCGGTTTCCGTTTCACACGAAACACCCATTTACACTGAATGGGCCACCGACACGAGCGAGGTACAAGATCTCAGGTGTGATTTCGCAACCAAGTCTAGTACTCAGCATCCATAGCCGCCCGCCGGTTAGAGTCCTTCCGCGCTTGCATATAAGTTAGTGGAGCTTCCACAACAACAGAAGTATGATTAATAAGATGGTCGTTGAAATAACGAGCATTAAGCCATTGCTCACGAACTGGCCGAGAAGAAGGAAGACTCGATGGTAACTGTGAGAGGGGAGTAGCATAAGGTGGAAGTGCAGAGACAGGTATATGAGAGGTGGATGGTTGAGGAACTGTATGGAACGGGATGGGCTGGTAGGTCGAAGCCGGGCAGGGAGAAGTAGGGAGAGGGGAAGAGGAAGGGGATGGAAGAGAGGGAGGAAGAACTGAAAGTGGAATGGAGGAAAGAGTGGGCTACGTACAAGAGGGGAGAGTGGCAAAAGGAAAAATTTGTGGCTCAAACTTTACATGACGGGATAGATAAACTTTCCCAACTGCATAATCATAGCATTTATACGCAGATTGAGAGTTACTATAACCAAGAAACAGACACGGAGTAGAACGAGGAGAAAGTTTGGTATTATGGTATGGATGTAGCCAAGGATAACACAAGCATCCAAACGGTTTTAATTTGCTATAGTCTGGGGAACGATGGAGAAGAACTTCATGAGGAGACTTGTTGGAGAGAATGGGAGTAGGTAAACGGTTGATGAGATAAACGGTAATATGAAAGGCATAAGACCAATACGTCAAAGGGAGACCAGCAGTATGCAACAATGACATACCGGTCTCAACAATATGACGATGACGATGCTCGGCCGTACCATTGTGCTCAGGAGTATGGGGTGGAGTAGTAAAATGAGAAATACCATGAAAGTTGAACATGGGAACCAACTTAGAAACTCACCACCATTATTAGAGAAAACACTTTTAATGGAGCGTTGAAAATAATTTTCCACCAATCTTTTAAATTGTGGAAAATAGAAAACACATCTGACTTGTTGTAACGCCCCGAAACCCGGCTTAGTATTTTTAATTAATTTATTTTATTAATTAATTACTGAGTCGGTCAAAACAAATATTATTTTCTAATTTGCGTATTTAATATGAGAGTTGACCTACGATGTAGGGCTCGCTGTTCTGAACCCAACCGTGTAAACGGTTTGAGATTCGGACTTACTCAGCCCAAGATACGACTGCCGAATAAGGTAATTGGGCTTAAATCTTTCCTAACTGGCAAGAAAGTGTAAGCTGGAACCTAAATATCTGTTTAGTTTTATATGAAATAGGTAGGGGGTTACACTTACGCACTATCTCTCTCCTTCCCGTTCGTTTCCATCGACTCCCCTGCCCAGCTCTACGTCGCCGTCTGTCTGCCAGGGAGAGCCAGCCGCCGCAGCAGCCACCGAGAGTTCCGCCGCCGTCGCCGACCGTTGCCCGCTCCCTTTCCCCCATTGCGCAGTGGGTTTGGCCGAACTAGAGCAACGATCTCCCCTCTCCGATTCAAGTTTCTTCATCAATTTCGAGGAGTGATTTTTGTCCAATTATCTACCATTAGCCTCAATTCATAGAATATAATCTCAAGTATGAATTATATCAACTCAAAAACTATCACAAGTGGATGAGGAGTGCTGGAGCAAAAGCTATTGAGGAACAAATGAAGATTTCAAAATTTTAAGGAACAAGATCCCACTTGACTTGTTTGTTGATCGAACAAAGGAAATTTCTCAAATGGTCCCAAAAAGAAGGAAACTAGAAGCTGCCAAATCAGCTGGAACATCTTCTACTAGACCCGCTGAAGCATACAATGTAGCTTTTGCTGAAACATATTATGTAGTACCCTATGTAAAAAGGCAACAAGTTGTGAAACAATCTAGTATGAGAAGATACAAGGATCATTATCCTAAACCTGAAAGGTATTCTTATACTAATACCTATGCTAATTATGTTTCCTTTTGCTTTGGAAAAAGGGGACACATTCATTAGAGAAAATGCAAGAATTTTAAAGAGCAAAGATATAGAACAAAGAATGTGACAACAAGGATGATTTGGGTACCTAAGAATCAGAACAAAACAGGTGATAATCCTTGTGTGAAGGATGTTGCTTCTGATCAATGCCATGTTGGTAGTGCAAGCTTGCATCAAGGAGAAAATAAAATAGATCATTGTGTTGTTAAGAGTGCTAAATCATCTCATAAGTGTGATGAAGAGACACCTCGTAGTCATGAGAGTGTGAAATTTATGGCTATGAAAACACGGGCATGGGACATGTGTAAAAGAACATTTGATGGGAATCAGTTTGGTATACTAAGAGGTGTTTCATCTCCAGCGTGGAATGCCTTAGAGCATAGATGTTTTTGCTGGTGGTATACATGTCTTTTTATATTTTTTTGCAGATTATTACTTTTTCAGATGGATCGTCTAAGGGGGAGTCGCTCAAGTATGGCACAGGTTGATGTGACAAAGTCTAGGTCTATTTTTGATATTCATTGTTGTAATGCTCAAGCTCGCTTGAATGCTACTCTTCTCTTTTTGCCCCAATATTCTTAATAAAAACCTTTGGCATTTTTAATGCAAAAAGGGGTAAAAGAGGTTCAAAACAACTGTTAGTTCCATTTTGTGTTGGCATTATTTTTTGACAAACAAATAGATTTACCTAGAATTATTTTAGATGTTTTATTTAGACTTAAAGTCCTAGCGTGTGCAGAAACAAAAAGAGGAAAGAGCTTGAAGAGAGAATTGTAGTCCTACTTGGTTTACTATTCTTAAAGAGGAAACCATGGTTGAGACTCCTAAGTACATTCTAACAGGGTTATTCTATTCCATATATTATTCTCACATTCCCTTACTATTTTGGGGTGTGCAAAAGTACCAATATGAAAAAAGAACAGGAGCAGATCTGATCCAAAAATAAAGAAGAAGGTGCAGATTTTGTGGACAGCCTGCACGAATTTGAATGAAGATCCGACCGTTGGATTTAGCTGAAAATTTTAGTGAGTGTTCCCAACACAGAGGACTTCAATCTATTCAACTTTCACGTCAATTTGAGTTATGGATCTTCTGTAATCATAGCTGGTGCAACTTGCGTTTTTGGGTGATATTCCTGATTTTCCTTTTCTATTGTTGATGGCTCTTATGTATGCTGTTGTTGGTGAGCTGTAACAAGCCGTGGAGATAGACAAATCAATACATTAGAAAATTCTATTGTGATTGGTTGTGTAATTCTTACGGTGATTTAATGGAAGGGTTGTTACACGGGAGTGGGCCTTGCAGATGTTGGAGAGTTGCTCCAAACCGCGTAAACAATTCTTGTGCACTGTTTACTACTTTTACTTTATATTCTACGTGTGTGCATTTGAGAAAAAAGATGTTATAGCACTTCGCCTGTCATCTGTTTCTGCAATAGTGCTACAACATCTTCTACAACAATATGTTTATTTGATCAGTTTGCGTAGATTCTTTTTATTGGTGATTTTCGTTGCCCCCCACGAACTTACATATATCTCGTGGTCGTATTATTTCTCCGAGGTGAAAATCAATAAATCCTCTTCGAAATTAGTTCATTGAATTGTATACTTCATCCATTAAACACTTTCCAAATCGAACCTCTCCCAAAAAATAAAGAACAAAAAAAGAAAAATAAGTAGAAGTTAATTAAAATACCAAAATAAAAGCAACCTATTTTAATCCCTTAAATAAAAGGGTAGTCAGAGTGTGATGTAAGAGTGATGACAATGTAATATGACATTGTGATCAGTCAATCAAATGTGGACCACCGGTCAATGTTGGCGACCGATGGCAACACTCTGGTGATCGGTGGTAGAGGATGGTAGTGTGGTAATGATAGTGTACATAGATTGACAATGTGAGAACGTAGTGACTGAGACAGTGTAATAATGACAATATGAATTTATATTTTATTTGGTCTTAAAAGAGTGAAGACTTATTTTGGTTTTTTCATATATATTTTTAAAAATATCTATCATGTTGACAATTTTATAAAGAAAAATCTCATTGGATAGGAATAAAAAGTATGAAAATATCAAAATAAGAGTCTCAAGTCTTTTAAAACAAAAATAGGAGTATAATGGTAGTATAGTTTAAGAGTGCAGATTGACAATGTGATGGAAAAATGATGACAGTGTAACATGTCAGGGTGATCTTTCAACCGCCGCAGAAGTTTATGAAGTTTGTAAACTATATATTTGTGACTCTAGCATTTTTCTTATTAGTAAGAGATTTTTTTAACTTCTAAAGTGTACATCATAATCTCATGTCTAGGGTTTTCTTATTAGTAATTGAGTACTCCGTATATATAAATGTGTAATTCACAGCTAATTTGAGTAATTTCCTCCTGGCATATTTTTACCAAGAGCGAGGACTGCATCATCCCACCGGAAAATATGCTCAAATACCTTGCCGGTTCAGCCGGTCCGAGCGGCTTCGGCTCCAAGTCCACCGCCGAGGAGGTCACCGAGAAGTGCCCCCATCTTCGCTCCATCACTGCCATCATCACAGGTATATATAATTATGGCGCAGTCCACACACATTAACGCGGCTGCGCGGCCGCCTAAGTTGTTACGTTGCGGCGGCGCAAAAGGTGGCTGCCTCGGCGGCTGGCGTGACTGACAAGCCTTGTAATAAACTTGCAGGTGCAACGTCGGGAATCGGAGCCGAGACGGCTCGTGTTTTAGCGAAGCGGGGCGCACGGCTAGTGCTCCCCGCTCGCGACGTGAAAGTTGCTGAGGAGACTAAGGCCCGGATTCTCTTGGAGTCGCCGGAGGCCGAGATCGTGGTGCCGCCGCCTCTCGATCTCAGTTCCCTCCGTTCTGTTCGGAACTTTGTGGCACATTTCGAATCTCTTAACCTGCCTCTCAATCTCCTAGTGTACGTTCCTTATGTTTTTTCTCTTCAACACCTATTGAATGAACATAAGGTTTCCTTTGGTATATGGAATTGACGAAATTAGAATTGAATTGAAATTTTATTGGATTTAATTCCATAGAATTGAATTCTACCAATTCCGGCCAGTTCATTTTTTACACTAATAATTCTAAACCCACATCATTTTTGTATTACCAAACACCAGAATTGGAATTGGAGTCCCCAATTCCAATTGCATAATTTGAATTCCGTGTACCAAACGGGGCGTAAAAGTAATCGTGTTTTAAAATCTATTTTTTTAAATTGTATTTATATACTCGATTCGTTTCATAAAACAGTTCCTATTTTTATTTTTAAAAGAAACAAAGAGCGTATATTTTTGTTTAACTTTATAATTTTGTTTTTGATGTGATGAGTGAAAGTAAGATGTGATAGATAGATTATTAGTCAAAAAGTATGATGTAATGGACATAGTAAAAAAGTAGGAGTAAAAGTAGTTTTTAATAGAAAATGGAAGTATTTTGAGGAAAATAAAGAAGATAAAATGAAGAAATATTTTAAAAAACAGAAGAAATATTAAAGTTTATAAAACGAGCTCAAGTAATGATCACGTAATGAAAGTTCCAAATAATATTCGTATTTTTTAGCTGTTTCCTAAACGCTTTCCTGCTTTGACTTGGTATAGATCCATTTTTGTAGCTTAACTTTATAATTACTCCGGATATCCTTAACATTGAAGAAAAAAAGAGACAAATCATTTAAATAATTTATTATATCAATACAAATTGAAAAAAGTATACACTATTTTTAAAAGGAACTATTTTATTAAAAGGAGTATATAAAAGAGGAACTATTTTTAAAAAAGAAAAATAAAAATTACTTTTATCCTTATTAATTTTTATTTTACCCATCTATTTATTACTAATCCACCAATAACATTCTATTTTTACTTATTACCTACATGTAAGGGCAATTTGTAAAAGTCAAAAGAAAAACATCTCTAGTTAAAGTAGGAAATGTTTTGTGACAATAGTTAGTATTTACTCCATCAGTTCCTTAAAATCCTTCCCATTTTGACTTTGGACCAGAATAAGAAAAGTACTTTCTCCGTCCCAAAAAGAATGGGGCGGTTTGACTTTTTGGGAAATTAAGGAAGAGATATTTTGGTATTGACTTTCCAAAAATGTCCTTGATGTGATGGGTAAAAATAAGATGTGATGGGTAGATTATTAGAAAAAAGGTATGATGTGATAGGTAGGGTATGAAAAAGTAAGGGGTAAAGTGGTTTTTTAATAGAAATGTAACGGACTTTACGGGACGCAGTTTTTTCTAAACGTAACAAACTTTTTAGAACGGAGGGAGTATAATTTTGGTTGACTTTTTAATTTTGCCCTTGATGTGATGTTTAAAAGTAAGATATGATAGTTTGCTTATTAGTGATAAAGTAAGAGGTGATAGGTAGGGTATGAAAAAGTAGAGGTAAAAGTGATTTTTTAATAGAAAGGTGAAGTGTTTTAGGAATTGGAAAAAAACGAAAGGGGGGGTTTATGGAACGGAGGGAATAGAATAATGCTAGGTTCACAAACAAAATGATTACAAACTTTATAAATTTACCATTTGTGATATAAACTCTTTTTTACAATTTATTCTTGTATTTATAAATGAAATATGTGCTTCGTTATTCGTAATCATTTTCTTTTTCTTTACAATACATTTGTTAGATTTTATGAAGTCAAACATCAATATTTATTGGGGAAATTTACTTAAATAGGATTAAAATATAATGACTTTCCTTAAATAGCATTATATGTGTTTTTTCCAATGTAACATTTTAAGTCATTATCCATTAATTATTATTCAAGTAAATGTTCGCCATCACTGGACATTATTTCTCCCTTTGAACATTATTAAATGTTATTTAGGAATAAAATAGTTTAAATGCTATTTAGAGAAATGATTTAAGATTTAGTGCTATTTGGTTCAAATATTTCATATTTCTTTTAAGACAAGAAGAAATTAAATAAGGAGTGTGTTATATCAAAACTGTACTCTATAAACTGAAAAAAATATTGTAATATTAAATGGATAGTGATACGCATTTTACACTACCATAAAAATACTGCTCTGTAAAAGGAAACAAAGTTATACCCGAGTAAAGAAAATCATTTTGATGAAGGAAATACTCAATACCATTTAATGTCACAATTTATTACCATACATGGAATATTTATATGTGTTGGACTTTATAAAAAAAGTGAAATCCGAAACTATGAGTCCATGAAAAATATATGAGAATGTTCACATTTTACATGGTAATTTTATGATCATAATAGCAGAGCTCCTAATTCGTACTCTCTTCGTCTCCAAATTGATTTTATACTTTTCAGTTTCAAATGTATAAAAATAAATTATATACTCATCTATTTTGCCTTTTAAGAGATCGATAAGTACTATATTCGTCCCAAAGTGATTTATCTCTTTATTATTAGAGTCTTTCAATATTTTTTGTTTATCTACATGTTTTCATTGATTATTTATAAAATAAATATTATTATCACATCTTGTTATATACTCCCTCCGTCTCAAATTAAATTGTTTGTTTACTATTCACAAGGTCAAACTTTATTTACTTTCTTTCTCTTTTTTCGATAGTCATTTGATAAAATTAAATAGTCATGTCACCATTAATTTTGTAACCATAAAATACTACGGAGTAGATCTTTTGATGTAGTATTTTAATATAAAATTTTTATTTTTTAAATCTACACAATTTTTTATATAAAATGTTTTGAAAATAATGTCAGTCAAACATTGTAAATCGAAACAAGCAGTATAAATTGGGACGGAAGGAGTAGAACTTTGATGCACTTTCTTAATATATAATTTTTATTTTTTTAATTCCAAATTGGCAAACATTTATTAAATTATAAGCTACTTATTAGTTAAGAGGGTGTTTGTGAGTGCGGTGAGTCTTGAAAAACTAGATGTGTTAAATCAGAAGTAAAAATAGTTACCCTGAGCTTTGGTGAAAATCACTTCTAGAGCATAATTCACGCTTCTGAATCATAATCCCTAATCTAAAGCTGATTGGAAAATACTTAAAAATGTATTTCAATGAAATATTTCAATGAAATAGAAGCTCAAAAGCTATTTTCGAAGACACTCAAACATCCTCTAAATATTCTTTCATAGAAGTAAAATGATTTAAATGAGAAATAATCAATTTGGGAATATTCACAAAAGGTGAGAGATAATTTTGTATATAATCTAGTCAAAACAAAAAAATGACTTAAAAATAATTATGTAAGTTAATAATTGTAGTGGCCGAAATTATAGCAATAATTATTATATTTATAATAATTATAAAATGGCCGAAAGGTAAGTTTATAATTGTGAAGTTAAAATGGTAAGTGGCCGAAATTGTGAAGTTCTAATTATTTAAGAAAGGTATAAATATAATAATTAACGTATTGAAAATTGGAAATAATTTAAAAAAATAAATTAATAATTGTAGTGGCCAAAATTGCAGTAATAGTTATTATAATTATTATATTTATAATAATTATAAAATGGCTGAAAGGTAAGTTAATAATTGTGAAGTTAAAATGGTAACTAGCCGAAATTATGAAGTTATAATTATTAAAAAAGCTATAAATATAATAGTTAACGTATTGAAAATTGGAACTAATTAAAAAAGGTAAGTTATAAAATTGCAGAGTGTAAGTTTTTAATAAAATTGGAGTCAATGTATTATATGCTAATAATTAACCAACGTTATTTTGACTACTGATTGGAAATGTATGAAATTATGGTAAGAATAAGTAACTGTCATTTTTAACCATCGGAAGTTAAAATAATTATTTTTATAAGAATTAACATGAGTAATATAAAATGGTAAGCCATCGGAAATTAATATAATTATTATATTTATAATAATTAACGTATTAAAAAAGGTAAGTTATACAAATCCAAAGCGTAAGTTTTTAATAAAGGTAAGTTATACAAATGCAAAAAGTAAGTTTTTGAAAATTGGAAATAATTAAAAAAGGTAAGTTTTACAATTATACACCCACTTTCGGGAAAAAATAATTATGGTAAGAATGATTATACACCCAATTTTGAAAAAAGTTAACCCTTCTTATTATAATTATAATTATAATAGCCTATAGCCTATTACAATTAAATATACTATAAATATTCCCACAAATTATACAATAATGTAGTCTATAAAGAAGTCTTTCGAAATTTGTAAAGCAGTGATGTTTTTTTATCTTAAAATAATATAATCTCTATATTCTATTGCATCTCATTTTTATCATTGAAAAATGATATGAATTTAATAACATAAAAATGACCCGTGCAATGCACGGGTGTGATACTAGTTCTTTCGTAGAAGTAAAATGATTTAAATGAGAAATAATCAATTTGGGAATATTCACAAAAGGTGAGAGATAATTTTGTATATAGAGGGTATTTGGGAGTGATATGGATAAAGTGATTTCTACAAAAGCTGAAAGCAAAAGCACTTTATACCTGCTTCTCCGAAACGGTGTTCCATATACAAAATAATATTGGTGAAAAGCAGAAGCTGACATGCCAAACAGAGTAAAATCACTTCCACTCAAAGCAGAAGCTAAATTATCAAAAGCAGCGCACTGCCAAACACCTTCATAATCTAGTCAAAACAAAAAAATGACTTAAAAATAATTGTGTAAGAAATACTTATTTTTTCTAATTTATAAGTAGCTAATAAGTCAGCTTATAACACTACTACACAATATATATTACACAGCAGATAAATATGGCTTTTCCCATCAGAAAACAGCCGCTGTCCATGCAGCCGATGGGAAAGATCTCTTGTTTACGCAGCGCATATTTTTTCGATGTGTAAACTTTATACAGCGCATATATTATCCGATGTGTAATGTTTACCCATCGGATAATTTATGCGCAGTATAAAGTTTATACATCGGAAAAATATGCACTGTGTAAAGATGAGAGCTTTCCCATCGGTTGTATAGACAGCGAATATTTTTCACATTAGACAGCGAATAAATAGTCGTTGTGTAAACTTTATATAGCGGAAAAAAATTGATGTGTAAGCACAAACAACGACTTTTCAATGGGAGAAACGACTTTTCAATGGGAGAAATTTCATTTAATTACCCAATACATAAAATTGCAATATATATAACGAAAAATTTTTTATTAAAAAAGAATAAAACAAAATACATGAGGGGAGGACTAAACCAAAGCCCCTCCATAAATGATGAGAACATAAGTTTACCAAAAGAACTAATAATTGCTTAAATAGAAGTCGAGCCAAAATAATCTTAAGGCTGAAGGTCATGGGGCCACTGTTGGAGTTGTGCCCTGATGGCCAACTGTTTATCATTATTCTATCATGTATAGGCAGATATAATATGTTTATACATCTCATGCTAATGTAAACAAATATTATATTCCTAAATTTATATTTAAATATGTTTATCAGATAGTGTTATTCTGCTGATGAGACTAACATCTTGAAATAAATATTTATCTGAATGTCCATAGTCGAGTATTAACGAGAGTGGGATATCGTTAATGCATGTGAGACTAGTGTGTGTTGGATGTTTGACTTAGTCTCATAGTCAATGACGGTGTGTTCGCATCCGCACATGGGCAGATATTATCTAAAGATAATAGGATGCCGGACTGACCCGTCCTAAAGATGTTGCTTGAACTTTTAGTTCATGCTCTAAGCATCTTTAGCGTGACCACGGGTGTAACTATCCTTCGACTTGAAGTATTACGTTTTCTGCATATGTGAACCCGCATACTTTGATGCATCGTCCTAAGCCATATGAAATAAGGGTGGTATACAAGCTTTGTTTTGGGTATGCCGCAGCGTGTATTCAGAAACGTAGATTACGTACATAGGATTTGTCACTACTCTTTTTAAAGAGATTAATGTCTTCTGGGGCCCACTGATAAGTCATGACTGCTGCATGGCCATGCTAAGATGTTTTATGACGTCTGTTCCTATTAGTCAGACTTGATAAATCAGTGAATGACTTAATGGATACAAGTTGGATTTTATTAATCCCTTGCATTAAGTTTAGACATTGAGACAAAGGGATACAGTTACACGGAGTCTGAGTCGTGGAAAGGTTTTGACGGTGCAAACGTCTTAACTTATAATCTGGGGGCAATAATGTGTTTCCAGATACCGCTTATTGCTTATAGTATTGGTGCAGAGCCAATACTATGGCCAGCTTTATAAGTGCCTATACGGGTCACACACTTTGGACAATTTAAGGAGTAAGATTAAACAATGGGATAATAAGTAATTTGTATATTTGTAAAATAGTAAAATAAAATATTTTGGAGTATAATATATATTATATATACGGTTTATATATATATTTAATATATATATATATATATATGATAACACCGAAATATATATATATATATATATATATATATATATATAAATATATTATATGTTGAATATTTTATTTTGGTTTGTCATTTTAATTATGAAAATAATTATTTTGACATAAACTATTTAAAGTATATTTGTATACTTGTTTAAAATGATATTGGTATTTTTATTTGATATAAAATTAATTGTACATTAATTTTTGATGTCAAATAAAATACACTTTGAACATTTAAGTGGAGAAGAATTTTGAAAATCCTTCCCATATCATCTTGTTCGGCCATAAGGATTTAAAGGATCAAAATTAGTCTTTGATTAATTGTTCAATTTTTAACTTTAGCTTAATGACAAAAGTTTGATTAATCACTTTGTATTGTTTTGTTTTCTTTTTTATCCACGGCACAATTGAGATAAAAGGGTGTGAAGATTATCAATTTGTGTATCATAATATTCGGCCATAGGTTTTCTAGTGAGAGAAAAATATTAGTTTGGTTCTATTTATATCGTTTTGTGTATAGAAAATATCTATAATATTTTCTAAATATTATTAGAAATATTTTCTATAGAAATATACAAGATTATTATTATCCCAATTTTAATCTTTATATTTTATACTACTATAATCTTTACTAGCATAAAGATTGTGGTAGATTCTGGCATTGTTCGTGTGTCAAAGTTGGAGACCGGACGCTTGAACGGTTACGTTTGCACTTTCAACGCTCTTCCTACGACTTCTTCGTTTTTACCGCTTACGGAGAAAGGTATAAATTTATTACTACTATATGTTTTAGTACGTGATTCTGGGCAAGATAATCATGTTAGGATGTTAAATTTTTTATATTCCGCTGCCTATCCTTGCATGGTTACCTTTCAGCCATTTCATCAAAACTATCTACCTCACAGTGCACATATATATGAGTGAAAAACAATTCAAAATGTATCTACGAAGTGATTAGCAGCTATCATAAAGCAAATAGTCATGAAAAAACAATTCCATAGGTGTTCCTACACAATCCTATCCAAAAACAAAAATCCAACAATTGGAAAGAGTTACACAGCAAGCCATGAATCCTATAAGAAGCAGTGTCTAAAAAGGGTATGTGCACGTAGACCTTAACCCTACTTGGTAATAGACATTGTTTCCAAGAGGCCTTGGGCTTAAACACAGAAGCCCATGCAAACAAAAAACAACCAGTACAACTGAAAAATGTAGGATCTCAGGGGGTGAGTGTACACAGACCTTACTCCTAATGGGAAGTAAGGTGTTCCTACAAAATCCTATCCCAAAAAAATCCACCAGTAAGAGTAAGGCAGTAGTTACCCAAAAACAGAAGTGTGCAGTTAAAAAACATCTTATGGCTACGTTCTAACAAGTTTTGCGAATCTGAACAAAACTATTTAACTAAAGTAATAAAAAACAATATCATATACGTGTCATATTTTTAAATACTCAAACAGGTCTATGGAGCCCAAAGAACATTTAGTGACCAAGAATTATATTGAGTATCAAATAAATAAGAATTATATTTAGATGATTTCATGTAAACCACTAATATTTATAAAAACCACTTATTTTGGATAAACATAGTGCATTCAAGATTGTTTTTCAGCATTGGCCATTCATAAATACTGCCTTAAATCTGGCCCGTTACAGCAGCGAGACCCCGATCAGCGAGTCGGGGGGTCAAGGGCGGAGACGCCCCCGGCCCGACGGTATACAATGTTGAAGTATTGGTCTATTAAGCTAATGTTTACCCGATTGCATAAAGCTAAATTTCCGAGTAACTTTCCCAATTATTCAGTACTCAGTCCCAAAATTTGATGAACTCAGTACCCAATAGAATTAGAACTAGAATTGAATTCAGTTCAATTAAGTGAATTCAGTACGCAGAGACCTAAACATATGTGTTTAATTGTATTCAGTTCAATTAAGTAACTCAACTCAAATTTTCAGTAAATTTTTGAACTAGAATTTGAATTGAATATTTGCAACTAATTTTCTAGTAAATTAAACTCGGAAATTATTAGACAATTAAAGTTTTGATGAACTGTAAATAGATGATGATATACGTTGAACTAAAATCAGAATTGGGCGATTCCCAAAAACCTAATTCGCAGAAACACAAATTAAAACACCAATTGGTAGAAATTAAAATATCTAGACAAGAAATCAAACCTTTATAGATCGAGCAGGCGATTGAAAGTTGAGACTAGCGTTCTTCATAGTCGATCGATTAGCAGAGAAATCCAAGATATAGGTGGCAATCGATTTGAGATTAGGGAGTAAAAAATAAGGCTGTGTAAGAGTTTAAAAAAAATTAGATACGCGCCTTGATAAATGGAATGAAGCTCGTCCTCTTTCCCAAAACTTTATACAGCCTTTTTAAAGTGCCATGTATATAAAGTCACATACTTGTTACGGGGCATTTGCATTTGTAGATATAATTAAAAGATAAAATGTTATCTATAATTTAAAAAATACAAATTCAAATTTACAAATGATACTCATAAGTTTTTGTATTTCGTAATTCTTTGTTTGTGACTTAATTTAAACATTCCTCAAGAAAGTACTCCCTAACATTGCGAACTATGGAGTACTTAGTAGTTAATACTCATTTACTTCTAATGTCTCAAAATCAAGTTGATACTTCAATTTTATGAAATTTAAAAACATGTTGAAATTTAAAGTATGTTTAATCACCGGTTAAATTTTATTTGAAACTACACGAAAATGAGTATTCGGTTACTCGTAAATGAGTACTCACTACGGATCGGAGGTAACCAGAAAACATTATACAACCGGGTGTACGATATATATCGTGGAGAAACACCCGTTTGCACTTAAATTTGAATGTCACAAAACATAATGACTTTCCCTAAATAGCATCATATGTGTTTTTTCCAATGTAGCACTTTAATTTTAGTCATTATTCAATCAAATATTAGCCATTGATGGGTATATCCTTATACCCGACCCGGACAGCCGAAAGGGATAGGTCAAAATATGACCGGTCACTTTTATCAATTACCAAATGAAGTTAACTCTTCGATTGGGACGGGTCAAAAGTTGACCGGTCACTTCCACTAAAAAAGTGACCGGTCACATTTTGGGCGATAGCCAAAATTTCACCTAATGTTGTGAAGAATTCAAGAAGACCAAAGAGACGGGTTGAGCTCAAGAAATGACCGGTCAACCTTTGAGAAAAAGGTGACCGGTCATATCATCTTACTTGACAAACATTGGTCTAGTATCTCAGGCATGGTGAACCACGTCAAAGATCGAGGGACCACCCCGCCGTTCGTCCATCACAAGACAAACAGTAAAAGAGATGTTTGTCACTTTGCAGGGCTGATTAGATTGAGAATATCCATCTATAGTCTTTGATTGAACAGTACATGTCTTGGCTTATAGTTGCTAAATTCTATGATTGTACAGTGCTTCCATTATCTACAGTGACCTTCCCACGAGCTTCCTATTTTGTCCATGGATGAACAGGGGAGGGTCACAAATCCTCCTCTATAAATATGATGATATTTGATAGAGGGGGGATCCAATTTTTCTCTCACTAAAGTTCACTCTTGAGATAGAGTAAGAAATATAATTCGGACT